TAACCCTGTCCCCTCTCTCCTTACCCCTCTCCCTGGATCCCGCGCTAACCCCATTCCATCCCTCCTTACCCCCTTCCCCGGATCCCATGCTAACCCCATCCTTCCCTATGCTCTGGATCCCCATACTGACCTCATCCTGCCCCTCTCTACTCCCCAGATCCTGCACTGACCCCATCCAGTCCCTACCTACTGCCCAGATCCTGTGCTACCCCATCCCTTTCCTCCCCTACCACCTGGATCAGATCCTGACTCAGTCCCTTCCCTCCCTACTGCCCCAGTCCTGTACTCACCTGATGCCTCCCTGTCTGACCTACTGGGTTCTCTCCCAGTGAGAAGGCTAATAGTGTCAGTGCTGGTGTTTGTTGGTATTTTGTCTGCATGTTGGGCGGGGGTGACCTCTCAGCCAGTGCCAGTGCTAATATTAGACTGATACCAAAACACTGCAGGGCACCACACATACACACTCAGGTATCTACACTTTTATCACAAATCGCTATATTGTGCTATTTCCCACCATTAAAGACCGCAATGTGAGGGGGCAGAGTTAAGGTGACTTTTCATCCTTAATGTTGGCATTTCCTGACTGCTGTGGAAATTCAGGGACTAATACTAAGGCCCCTGAAGTCAATAGAAAGGCTCCTTGTGGTTTCCATGGGCCATGGACCAGGCTATTAATGCACTTACAATATCTGCCTAGGTGGAGTCCTCCTTACATAACACATTTTCCTCACACAATGAGCAATTAGGAAAAAACGAGTTGACACCATTTTTGTGTCAAACAGCAAGAAACGTCCCAGGAGTCTCTGCTGCTGCCTGAGCCCAGCAGTCCTGCTGGAAACCCGTCCCGCTGAGAGTACAGTGCTGGGCAGTAAAAAGAGTCACCTGGCCTCTGGCCTCATTCCACACATAAAAGGGAATTGTCCCAGAGAAAAAGAAACTTCTGTGAGGCCTGAGCAGCGCCCAAGACAGGCACAAGCGCGGGACGCAAAGGGGGCTGGGAGGCCCCTTTCAAATCAGCCTGACAGTCAACGATGCATAAAAATGGGTGTCACGTTACTGGGTTTTAAAGGGAGCAGCCAAGATCACTGCTGCACCCATGGGGGGGTGCCTCAAAAGCGTATACAAAGGGGGCCATGTGAGGTGTCAAACGAAAGCTTATGCTCTGCTGATGCTGTATGTGCTATTCATGTACTTGTATGATGTGTGTATGTGGAGTTATAATTATGTACTCTGTGTTGATGTTGGAAGATTCTCTGTCTGAAGCAGAGCAACGAGCAAGGAATGCTCAGCCTATGGCTATGCTAATTAGCAAGGAGACAATGAAACTCTAGGTGCCAATACACACCTCAGGAATGTGACGGATACCTAAGGGCTACCAGCAGGGGACACAGGGATAGGCCATTGATCAGGTGACCTGCTGTAGCCAAGAAGATGCCAGGAGAGGTATATAAGTGCCATGTGGCACCCTCCGTCTTGGTCTGCAGCTCAGAGGCAGCCTTGCAGGGAACCACGAGCCAGAAAGAACTGTGGACCCATCCTGACATTGAATGTGCACTAGAGACTTTTAAGCCAGCAGTTATATCATCTCTGCTAAGAGCCTGCATTGAGAACTGGGTGATTCGATGCATGTAATGTATTATCCTTTATCAACCTTACTCTCGTGCTTTTCTTCCTTTTAGTAATAAACCCTTAGATTCTAAGGGATTGCCTCAGCATGATCTTGTGGGTGAGATCCAGAGTGTAAATTGACCTGGGAACTGTGGCTGGTTTCTTGGGACCCGACAGAACCCGTTCAGGGTAGGTGAGATTGGGTCTTATAACCCTTCACCAGTGTGCTAGGCCCGGGGCTGTTTGGGGCACGGAGAGAGCTGGGGTGTCAGGGGGGTTTTGCTCGTGAGGCTTCTGGCTGGCCGGGCAGGCAGCTGGAGCGCTCGGTGTGACTGTTTGTGGCCTATTTGGGAAGGGCCTCCAGTCAGGGGCTATAAGGAGCCCCGAATTTGAGCAATTCGCCCTGAGCGAACGCCCTGAGCGGTGCCCAGACCCGGCCCAGTCCGTCACAATGGGTCGTTCTCTTACCAGAGTCTACAGCCTGCACACGGACGGGAGAGTCGCAGCAGATGGTGAAGCCAAACCCATCCCTTCCTCGAGGGATTGTAATCTGCAAACAGACATCAGAGGCATCCTGTTAGCCAGGAAGGCGGCTACTGTGTGTGACCCAGTAAGAACCCAGCCTTTGCTCATGCAGCTCCGGGACGGTTTTGAAGGGCATTTACAAATCACACAACACTGAGCATTGCAGCCTGCAGGCAGGTGAGCCGGGCATCTTGTACACGAGGTAGGGAACAAGGCCCGGCCTTTCCCTTCTGTAGTATGGCAGTAATGCTGTTTCCCTGCCTCGCAGGGGCGCGGCAAGACTTAGTGTTTATAAAGCAGCCGGGATGAAGGGGCTCTGAAAACCACGCACATTATCGGGGGCCACAGGACACATGTGCCAGGGGCTCCGAATGGAAGGGACGGAGCGTGAAGGGGGTTTCCCACCCGCATTCAGGGGACAAGCTATCGGCTCCCCCATCACGCTGGTCCTGGAGGCTGTGACCTCTCGTTACTAGAGTGAAGTTCATGTGACCAAGGCTGGCCCCCAGCGGAAACGCAGAGTCACCGCTCCAATAAATGTTATTTCAGAGACGTTTGTCACGTTTCCTGGTGAACGGAGAGGGTGGGGGAGGAACCAACTGACCCTGATTTCTGAAAATAAACAGGCAGGGAGGGACGCAGGGTAAGCAGCCAGAGAGCCCGTCGGAGGAGAGGTTAATCCTCGCGCCTCAACGTCTTTTGCTCTAACAAAGTGCAGACGAAATCACAGGAGCGGCTGGTTGCGGGAGCTACGTTGCCCTCTCTCCCAGCATTTCCCTACCATGGCAGGGGGCTTCTGGAGCCAAACTCCCTTCTACTGGCACCGTCAAGATCAGGCCCAGTCCCTCTGCCATGGGCGGCTTTGGGGGTTTGGTGGATCCAAACCAGGCCGAAATGCGGGCGATGGCTCTTCCGCCTGGCCTGTAGAGGGGGTTTCTAGGCCTGGGGGTCCTGACAAGAGCGTCCAGCCTGGGGCAGCGTGCAGCCCAACGCTGCAGAACCCAGCACTTTCCCCTGCCCCTGGAGCACCGAGAGACTCTGCCCTGAAGGGAGAAGGGGGGGTTATGTCACTCAGCAGCGGCCCCTCTCGCCTGTTCCAACGTGGGGACGGAGACCCAAAGGCCCGGGGTGCAAGCGGCTCTGTCTCACTCTGCCCCGGGGGCCGCACG